CTGGTGCGGGTGCTGGTGCTGGATCGGCGTTTTCTTGGGGCGTGCTGGTGCAGCTGCTGGTGGTGCCGGTGCTAGATCGGGGTTTTCCACTGATCGTCAGTGAGGGATGAAATCACGTCATGCCAGGGATGATATCATGTCATGCCAGGGATGACATCATGTCATGGCGGGGACGATATCCGCTCTATGAGTTTTATCCCTATACTCCCGCTATCTGGGATCTATGCCGGTGTATGTCTTTTCTTGAAAGACCTGAAGAGAGGCGGATTGGACATGGTTCTTACTTGCCTTTGGGAACTCGATACAGCAGCAGCTCTAATCAAATGCATCTCAGTGGAAGGCTACCACAAGTGTACCTGGATGTACCTGGCGTCTTGAAGTACCTCGGACAATTAGTGCTTTGATGTGCTTTGAAAGATCTATCTATATCACAAATCTAATCAAAACGGCTTTAGGGCTCCTGCACGAGTCTACATCTCTTGATGACGTCGTTGGCCTTTGGCACTTCAAGGCAACATCTCTCAAATGAGTACGGTAATTGAACCACTTTGCTCAGGTCTCCCTCAAGCCCAGCGGAGACAGTGGACCGAGCGCTTCTGACAAAGGAACAACGTACTGAAAATGGGACATGCCCCCATCAAAGCCGGTACTTTCCCCATGAACTTTCACATGGTCGGCTCCAACTAGGCCTATGTATACGGATGATAGAGGATCCCTTTTTTTGGTGGAACAACTCCAAAACAATCTGTCCAAACTACACTGATATAGATCCTGCCAACCAGGACTCGACACGAAATCGCCCGCAACAACGAAAAGAATTGCACGACGCTTTTGAATCCGAATGGATCGAGATCGAGGATGCATGAGATCAAGATGAGATCCGGACCCACCGAGGACCGAAGATCCGGACCCGGGTGGTAGAGGTTTCTGGAGTCGAGTCGACCCCGAACTCGTCCATTAAGAAAATGGCTATCTGGAGCGATGGCCTCCAACCTACTAGCGATGGCCTCCGAAGCAAACGATATTAGACCAGGTATCTGGATGGTATCCTGTTTTTTCTTCGCGGGTCATGTCCCATTATAGGCTACGAACAAGACGTCAGGTCTAGGCAATGCCATGCTCAACTGACATCTTCAGGTCTCCTTTTGTGTCCTAGGCGAGGGAGAATTCGATCCCACCCGAGACTGGGCCTCAGAACTCCTGGAGCTGCTGAGATTGATGATCCGAGAGTGCATGATGTCCTTTCCTCAGTTCATTTCAACATGGCCATGTCTGTACATAACTAAGTCACACATGAGTGTGCCACTACGGGCTAGCTGTAACACAGGTCATGAGAAGGAAGTATATAACAACTGTTGATTTTTTTTTCGGTCTGCCTCCAGCACCAAGAATGCAAGGCTTAGGAAAGTACAATGACATGACTCATGACTACACCCTGTTCAGGGCATCACCTGAACAATGGACGGTTGACGTTTGAAATCATTGGGGACTGTACCCTGCTCGGCCCCCACCCACACCATAATACTATATTAAATATTCACATCACATACCTTTATCCGAGCTTCCTAAGATAAGGTGATGGACCACGTTGCCGCACAACAACGCCCCCATGCTGGCGAAGGCCAATGCAATGCTGCTCAAGAGGATCGTAGAGAGCACTTGTCGCAAGAGGCGCCCATGGGTATGACGCAAACATCCGCATCCCCAACACTCCAAGCAAATATGGCAAGTATGGCCGGGGTGGCTTTGCTGGTAAGTGTGCATTCATTTACATGCAGAATGTTGGAATCCATCTGCAACAAAACATGGCTTCTTAGGAGAAACAACTTTATCTCGATCTGCACAGCCTTAATACTAATACTCTACACAAAACTTAATGCCGATGTTCCGGTTGGATCGAATGACTCTCAGTGGATCGACGATATATCAGGGTTTCTATGAGACTATGATGATACTATAATGAGTCTTTGTCTTTGAAACGACTGGTGGAAGTTGAATGCATGGACATAGTTGCCCTGGTTGTGTATGTGTTGGTAAACCCAAGGGCTTCTCCGAACACCACCCCTCGCCTCCTGAAAGAAGTGCAAGTCCTGGTCTTCCTTGGATCGGCTTCGAGGGAAGATGGACGTATGCGGCAAACCTGTATTGGACTGGCGCGGCCCAGGAAACGCACCCAGTCCTACCATGTCCTATTTGCCTGTTCGGATGTCCGTCCCCCCCATGTCCACGTTCGGACGAGCCCATCAAATCAGAATAGGATGATCATCCCGAAGGTTGATCCACCTGCCCTGAAGGACGAAAGCAGAGGAGATGGAATCCGTCCCATCCAGCTGTTGCTTCGCTGTTGCCTTCGAACATGCAGCTGAGAAGCTTCTGATGCCGCTGATGTCGTGAGACTCTGGAGCAGCAGCAAATGGGCAAAGACCCAGGTGTCTAACACGTTCAACAAGGGCAGCTTCCAGGGACAGGCCATCACCTGCCTGGCACAGACTATGGCCACGCGGAGACCGAGCTACTGGACTGTTGGGCGCCAGCGTTTTGCGCATTGACATGTTTGCAAGCTGGACTCAGCTCTACACTATAACTCTAGAAAACACACGCATTGATCTGAGACGAGTGCTTCAATGGATAATATTGGAATATATAATATATAGGATAAATAATAAACAACTTCATGACGCAAATCAAGCGAGACAAACAAAGAGAGAGAGAGAGAGAGACAAACAAAGAGAGAGAGAGAGAGATCGAGTGACAAAAAAAGGAACGAGAGCCCTCCGTGCATTTCTGTTGGTCCTTTTTACGTCCGACCTGACACCGAGCACCGGCAGCGACGGATAGCAGCTTCGCTTCGTCCAAACACCGCTTTCGCGACTCTCGAATTCGGACGGACAATGAGACTCTCCAGACCTCCAGACACGTAATTAGGGGGCTTCCCTATTTCCACCCAACAAGATCGATCTAGACTGAGCCCTCTGCAAGCCAGTCGACAGCAAGGCCCACCCCAAAGGTCTCCCCGTGCGATACAGAGCTGGACATCTTGCGTGTTTAACCAGGACATGACCGAGCCGCAGGAGGAGAAAACCCAGGATGATCACGATTCCACCTGCGTAAGAGCAGTGGAGTCGGGCTCGCATGTAGGCGTTGAGACGGCGACGCGGAAAGCTGTGAGGGGGTTCTCTCTCCCCTACAGGGATCCACGTCCTTCTTAGGTTCGGTTTGGAAGGGTTCCTCACGACATTGCCTACATCAGGCTGTGTCGAACAGATCACCCAAACCGAATATAGTAGGGTGGATCCACGGATGCAAGCCACGAGATCAACTGTCTCTGCGCACCATCAACCGGGTTCGACTCTCTTAGGTTGTCGTGTGGTCTGCACAAAACGAAGTGTCACGCCTGGAGATCGAAAGGGAGTCACGCCTGGTTTCTTCCTATGCTTCCCCACGAAAAGGAAATTTATATTGATCACATAATAATCACGGCACTTACATTTGCCTTGACCTGTGTGGCGTTGGTAGATTGCCTGCTCTCGCTCCACCCTGCTCTCGCTCCAAGAACATGTCGCCTGTGGTCTGCGCTGGTGGGAAGTCCGTGAACGCGACCACGCAAAAGGACAGCAAGGGGCCACGGAGTAGCAACGGCACGCCATACCTAGGCGCCCATGGGCCCAGGGTTGAGCCAAATGGCACATGGGTCGTTTCTGTCTCCGTGGGTTTTTTGACCTGGAGAAACTCCCGCTGCGTCGTTGGGTCACATGGGGTAAGTACATGATCATGCCCTGCTGGTTCGGGTCAGGTCCGATGTGTCGTTGGGTCACTTCGTTGTGTCAGTCGGGTCCAGGGAGATCGGGACGCTGCCGGGCTTGGGGCCTCGCAGCTCGGTCGCTCCGCCCACGGGACCTGGACACTCCGACCTGAGGTACGCATGACCACCCCATCAGCTACGACCGTGCCCAAGTTCTGAGGTACGAACGGGTCGACTCCAACGGGTCGTGTCCAAGGAAAACCATGGAAAACCTCTGGAAGTGGATGGCACCACCTGTTGGGTCTTCGGATGCATAGGGGGCCATGCCATCGCATACCATCCAGGGAATGCATAATGTTTTTTCTTTCAGGGAGTGTCACGCGTCAAAAACAGCGTGGGAGTGGATGTGTCCCCCACCTTGTGAGCAACGTGGTAGGTGAGCGACTTAGACCCAAGACTACGCTTCCGTCACCTAAACGCCACACCTCGAGCGTCCGCCCTCAAGCGAAAGCTGATCTAGCATGTCAACCAGCGCTGCACATCACTCTCTGAGAATCGGTGCTTCGCAGTGCGACCACCTGGTCCTCCTGCCCACGGCCCGTCATCTCCCCGGCGACCACGCAGCCGGCTGTCTTTCACCTACAGACTCGCCAAGGAGCCACCAGCGATTCGGCCGGAAGCGCGTGAAGAGAAAGGCAAAGCTCTGGACAGTGGTGCCACTGGAGACACTCCATCCTGGAAGCTTGATGACGGCCAGGGTGCACACAGCCAGGAAACTGAAGACACCACCTGCACTGCTCGGTGAAGTGCTCGGTGTCCAGTCAGATGGTGCGACCAGAGTCGATGAAAAACGCGTTCGTAGCTAGGACCAATGGGTTTTCAAGCCCTACCCTATGGATCCAAGACCCTCTGAGAAAGTGGGCAGCCGGACACTCTTTGATGTATAAGTTTATAGGGTCCAAACACCTTCTGAGAAGGTATGTGGATCCCCCTAAGGCTAAGAATCAAGGACCCTCAAATGGTGAAGGTTTGGCGAAGGCTCCAAGCCTTTGCGAAAAGCAGGGTCAAAACCATCCTTTTCAGCAAAGAGTCAAGGATGCTTGTAGGGAAGTATACGTATAGTGGATTGAGAGTATATATGGCACAAATGGTCTGTGCCATCTACTCTACTGTACCTGGACCCTCCAAAGTACCCCAGAAAACGGGACATGACCATACAAAAACAGGTACTTGCACCCATTTTCCCAGGTGCTTTGAGACTCCAGAGGTATTTAATACTATACTTATGCATGATTGTGCATGCATCGTTTTTGCTTCCATACCATTTCGAATGCCAAGTAGGGTCCCATTTCGGTGGATTATGGAGACTGGGTGGGCTCTGAATTTGGGACCTCCAACGTGAACCGCTGCCAATCAACCAAACGACAAGTCGGAGTCCATGGGAGTTCAGTGGCCGTCGGAGTCCATGGGCGCCGGGATCTAGGAGTCCAGCTCTTATTTTCTGACTGACTTAGCTGGTGGTGCTTGCGGAACCTCCCTCTTTTGTTAAGGTTGAACATGCCATCTTCAATGAGGTGCTTTTTTGGAAGGGTTAAGGAACACCTCTCACGTATCTCTCACTCAGAACAACCAGGGTTGGTATTTGTTCCTCAACGTCCAACCAAACACCTTGGGGCTGCCCACATACGAAATCAAAAAGTGTTTTGATTTTGACTAGTAACCTCCGGGAACCCCCAAAACCTGGCAGTGCGAGCCGAAGCGAGTTTTAGAAAAGGGAGCCAAAGTTCCAGTCACCAAGCACCCTCAAGAGGTTCTTCCCATTGCTGATCGAGACAAATCCATATCTGCAAGTTGGGGCGCCCCAAAAGAACTGTAGATGACCGGCCCAAAATGCAAGATTGAGAGTTTTGCCACTTCTCATTATACCGGCTGCCAGAATCTGAAAGACTTGGCGATGTCTGAGTCTGAATACATCAAAACTGGGAAGACCAGTGAAGTGAACCGTGCTGAAGATTTACACAAGCTCTTTCATCCTCCAGGCCACAGAAGAGTAAAACGAAACCAGCCAGCATCATCATAGAGTGCTCCTGATGGTAGCAACACCAAATTGGCAGTCATACAACCATGCTCCCAGAACTAGTCGCCGACACCGACTGTTTTGCGCAAAACGCATGTGTTTCCTGTTGAAAAGTGGAGCCCCAAGACAGTGCAGAGAGATTGGAACAAACAAAGCATGGCTTACCGCAGACTGCAAACAAACTTCAGAACGACTTATTTCATGGGAAGGAGACCATAGGAGAGACCAAGAGGAAACTCACCTGTAAGGAGAGCCTTGTGAACAAACATAACAAAGACTGAGAGGTTCGCCTTTTTCTGCAGGGATTGCTTTTAGTTGTTGCTGCTTCGTTTGGCTTCTTTCATGCGGAGATTGGTCTGCTCTTCATCGCACCAATGTCCTCAGGTATCGTGCCACTCAACGCTTCCACAAACCGCAGAACTTGCGATGTGTCACATTCTTTACCCCTTTTGCCTTCATCTAGTCTCATCATGACCTCATAATAGGCTTCTCTTTGCGTCATGTTCGTCCGAGTTTTAAACATCGCCGAACGTTGGATTTCCCAGTCCTGGGTGCCGCAAAGAACGCCCGGATGTTGCAACAAACTCTGCTGTCCGTTGGGATGAGTGTAGCACATCAAAGGGTCCAAGGCCAGTGCTGACCTCGGCGCGGCGCGCGCGGGCGCTCCCAGCTACCTCCTTTGGGGGATGGTGGAACGGAGGCTTTCGTATGTACAAAACCTGTCAAACAGGTCGTTGCCGGGAGATCAAATGACACCTGAGAAACGGATGGTCCTGGACCAAGATGGTCGTCTTTTCCAAGATGGTCGTATTTCCAAACTAGTTCTAAGTGAAGATCAGCTTGGATGCACTCAAAAATAGAACAAACTACATGAACTTTGCTGCTTTGATTTGTCACGCTTTGCCTCTAGGCCACATTGTGCTGAATCCCACCTGGATAAAATGTCCCACCGTGTTCTGCATCTTCTTCTTCGACCAATTGTAGCCTTGTTGACAAGGCCGGTGGAATCCGCCGGAAAAAGATCGACCACTTCAGTGGCAAAGACATACCAGCACCTTCCTTTTGAAGTTTCCAATAGACCGTCCCTATACACTATTTCTGCTTGAGAACCCCAATTTGAAGCTTCAGGTGCTTCAGACTTACAGTAAAATGTGCCCAAGACTCCAAAACGCACGTCGCAACAAAAAGGTCCCGACTGTCGGGCCATGGCAACCCCGAAGCTCCGGACGACTGCAGGACCGAAAGCAAAACGGACGACTGCAGGACCGAAAGCAGCAGGACTGGCAGCTGTAAACGTCACGCTGATATGAACGGATCCGCATCGCACATCGCATCGTGTGATCCGACACCTGTGATCGGCTCCGGTGTGCCGGTGCTGCAACCGCGCTCGCGGTGACATCCGGTGACATCGGTGACAGACAGACATCACAGACAGACAGACATCTGGTGACATCACATATACCCAGAAACGGGGTGCCTGACGAATGCCTAGCCTTCTAAGATTCTCAAAAGAATGAGACAGACCTGTTGTAAATGTCTTTAGTAAAACAATGGTTATTCGGTATTCAATCCATGAAATCAATGGCTGGCCAGGAAACTTAAGGTAATTACTTTTTGTGCTGGGGCGACCTGACCCAGTCACTTTCTATGGTACAAACGGAAAAACAACTCTAGATGCTGCTTGGAACATGGGTTTGTTGGCACATAGGTTTAAAGAACAATGCACCCACAAGCTCGATATATGTACATATATATATACTGTATATATAAAGAGAGAGAGAGAGAGAGAACGCAAACTCTGCTTGCAAACTCCAGGTAGCAGCAGGGGATTCTGGAGGACGCAAAATAGCACCAAACCAGATACAGGATCCCAGCCGGAAAGACCAAGATCGTCGAGACATAGCGAACTGAGGTGGGGCCATCGGCCAAGCACGCAAAGGAGAAGTCCTCGATGTCCAGCATGAAAGGCTTTGAAGTCCTTGGATGTAACGGTCAGCAGGTCGTTCCCCGGAAAGTCTCGAGAGACATATTTAAATATGCCGAAGCTTCGGCAAACGAACAATGATGTCATGATTTGTGTTTTTTATATGTGTTTTGTTCGAAAAATAAAAGGGACCCCTAGAAACAAACTTACTTAGAAACTGTTAGACATTCAGTTACACTCACACTCACAAACTCTTGCCTAGGCTTTGGGCCTGTGAATCTCTGAGCGAAAAAATTACCTGCATTCACACCATACAATCCATGATACACATGATTGCTGCATGTGTCCGGCGACCGGGGAAAACCACTGGTTTGTAGCGGAAAACGGGTGCCGTTCTCAGGGTCCTTGTTAGTTTTGGGGAGTGTATGTTCTGAAGAGTTGAACCAGCAAAAATACGACCCCGAACCTCTTCTGCACATTCGTCCACAACTCCAAGACCAGTTCCAAGTGTCAGCGACACTGCTTGGAAGGAGTTGGGCCACTTCACTGTCATCAAACCCATAATGGCGACGCACTGCAAAAACGCCACGGTCAAACTCAAAGACATGCCCATCGCTTCCCTGGGTGTCGCTATGGACCTGGCAACAATCAACAGATCGGCGACGTTGATGAGTTCGTTTCAAGTCCACCTACAAAAGGTCCAGGACCATCCTGAAAGTGGGTGGCGCAAAAATGATACGTTTGCGGCTGTTGAATAGAACTGACGGGGACAGGGGACTGCCTGGGTTTTGTGAGTTATCCAACTGGGCGCTGATTGTTTTGATTTGACGACCGGAGCTAGGGATGTAGTCGAACCATGTTTCCAGGTGGGACATGAATGAAAAGGAACAACAAAACATATTTACTTTACTTCGAGTGACCCCCACCATGACATGTAAATCTGACAAGATTTCTGGCATGTATTGAAAGACTATTCGGCATTTTTTCCGGCATATCCTCTGACACCCTTTCTGACATTTTTCTGACCCACTGACATATCTTCTGATTGTTTCTGGCATATCTTCTGACATTCTTGCATCTGACATTCTTTCTGACACTATTTCCGGCATATCGTCTAACATTCTTTCTGGCATATCGTCAAACACTCTTTCTGGCATATCTTCTGAAATTATTTCTGGCATCTCTTCTGACATGCTTCCTTGCATTTCTTCTGACATTCTTTCTGGCAAGTCTTCTGACATTCTTTCTGGCATCTCTTCTCATATTCAACTTGGCATTCTAGTTTGCATATCTGCTGACATTCTTTCTGGCATATCTTCTGACATTCTTTCTGGCAAGTGCTCAGACATTGTTCTGGCATCTCTTCTGGCATCCTTTCTGGCATTGAATTTGACAATCTATCTGGCATATCTTCTGACATTCTTTCTGACTCGCGGTTGAGGTCCGGCGGGGGACACTGCCATCCGGGCTGGCGGTTGAGGTCCGGCGCGGAACACTGCCGTCCGGAGCTGGCGGTTGAGGTCCGGCAGAGAACACTGCCATCCGACACTCGCGGTTGAGGAGGATGAGGAGGAGAAGGAGGGGGAGGAGAGGAGAGGAGAGGAGAGGAGAGGAGAGGAGAGGAGAGGAGAGGAGAGGAGAGGAGAGGAGAGGAGAGGAGAGGAGAAGCACGGCAGCTGACATAAAATCCAACAACCCTCACCTGACAGGTGGGGAATTATATATTACAGTAGCTCTTTTTGAAGGCTCAACAACTAGTACCATCTATTATATTAAATAGGAAAAGTAATAGTACAGCCTCCAGCTACCTCCTATACCTCGTAATGATCAGCTTTAGGTTTTCAAGTGCTCCCGCTCCTTTAGCCTCCAGTTTGACCATTCTCTGGAAGTATGAACTCAACTGGGAAGGATCCAGGTACTGTAAGCTGCTTGTGAAGTAGCAATTTTCGATCCAATACCCCGTGCCCAACGCCACCACGTAAGGCAGGCGTGGTAACCCTGGGGTGGGCTTGGAGTGTGCCAATACCTTCGGAGGTACTTGGAACATCTTGGAGCCTTATACCCAGACACGACCCATGGGACTGCCATATATGATTACATTGACCCCCAAAACCACCCCTGGCCTGATCGGCAGTCCGGACTGGCAGTCCCATGGGTCGTGTTTGGGATATAGGGCTTCAAGTCTTCTGGACCTTCGTGGCCACCAAACACGTCCACAACGCACGGACGGGGAGCCCGGACGGGGAGCCCGGACGGGGAGCCACCTGATCTCCGGGTTCATGAGATAGTATGCCATCGTCAGACCGACAAAGAAGAGGATGACCACCAACACCTGTAAAACAGGCACTCGAGCAATCACAAGCGTGAAAGCAGTGGTGTCCTTTTCTTTGAGTCCGTCTGACATGTCTTGTAACTTAGAACTTACAGTATACTCTTTGGACGCACTGGTGACCAAATTGGTAATCATGAGAGGGGTAAACCAACTAGATCGGCGGAAATCGTCCTGTTTATGGTCTGAGTCTGATGTGACATCTGTGGCTTTGGAAGTAGCCATGTGACATTCAGTTCAACTCAAGTTGGAGAAAGAATGAGGCCATCTGACAGTCAGCGTCTGATCGATGGAGTGATGCGAAGATGGAATCGACTCTGTTCAGTCGTCCCATGTGCCACCAATGCGTCGAGACACCCATAAGACCATGGTCACGGCCGCGCATTGAGCACATGTCTCATCAACCCATGACGTACCGCGAGGGCATTCGGAACAGGGCGTCACCTGGGAAAGAATTCTGCCAGGGGAGGTTCTCTTCCGGACTCTGAATCGGATCCCATAGTAACTTGAGTCAAAATAATGTTTAATCACCTCAAAGTGTCAAAGAGGTGATATCCGGCATGCCACGTCCTAAATCATCCTAATAGAGAACATTCACATTCTAATCAAATCTCTTGGTACTCTGAATCCGGTGCCTGCTCTGCTGATCGAAGCGAGTTGGGTGAAGCTCTGAGGTCTTTGAGTACTTCTCCCAAAAACTGTTGCAGAATTTGAGACAGGGAAACACGAAAGGTAGAGTGTCACCAGGAATATATATATATATATGAAAGCTGCAGTATCTAAACGCAACAGGGCTATGCAACAACTGTGGTTTGTAAGAACTGCCTGGTGCCAAAACTGTGCTGTGCAAATGCGGTCGTATGTCACATGCACGCTACGCATAAGAGTGGCCGGGGTCGCGAGGTGGTGTTGCTACAGCATGTAGTGTGGTGCAAGAATTCAGGGGCTTATATATGTAAACCCTGCGCTGCCTGAGCATTGCTCGGCGCTATGTCAACTGCATCGTGTGAACAGTGCTTTGTGCCTGCTCGATGTCAAATCCGTGGTGTCAAGGCCGCGGTCCGGCTGTGTGGCAGCTGTGTGGCAGCCGTGCAAATGCGGTCTAACATGTCACTGCCGTGGATTTCTTTGCATATCTTTGCAGTACTTCTCCCAAAAGCGGATTTGCAGAATGTTCATTGAACAGCACGAGAAGAACACCATCCTGAAGCTTCAGTCTCCATAATTGTCACCCTGTGTTGCTACAACTGCAAAGTTTCCTGCCTTCCACCAGCCGTAACTTGGGTTGTCCTTTAGATCCAGTCGTTCGTGGCGCTAGGGACCTCTAAGTTCGGTGCAGGTCCATCGCCCCATCGTTTGGTTTGACCTGGACCTGGGCCCCTGACCTGGCGGCCCTCAGCGCAGGAGTTGGGCTGTCCTCCGGGACAATGGCTCTCTGTGCCACACTTGAAGACGTTGATGGGATGCTCCAGAGTGGCAAAGAAGCCCTTCTTGAGCTGCGGCACATACGCCTCCCCCAGTCACATCATTTCACATCACATACGGAAAACAGCGAAAAGCCTGTCCTTCACCACCAAAGCCCGAACGCAGAAACAATATAATATAAAAGCGGGTATCGCATAGCCACCCAAAGAAAGGGTACAAACAGCACCAAACAGCTATAAGCTTGGAATTCACCATTGCATATGCTTGGAGGAACCACGTCCGGAGCGGAAGCTCACGTCGAATCCGGCACGTCGATGCCTCGCATGCAGCTGTTTCGCACTGCTGAACATCGCTGCTGGGGGTTCAACATCAGGCTAGCTTTCCCTGACACTGAAACATGAGCTTTGATTCAATGGAACTCTCCAACATATCGCAACTGAAGTTGTGCGGTGTGTTGCCATTCTTTCTTTCTTCATCGATTCCTCCCTAGCACATCGAACGGAAACCAACACCCTTTGGATCCAACTACCTACCTACCTGGACCCTCCAGTTCATACCCCCCAAAATTGGACATGAATAGTAAAGCAGGCACGCCTGTATCCATTTTCCGAGGTACTTTCACAGGCCGATTTCAGGTATATGTCAGAATGTAAGAACCTGGACACCCCAAAGTACTTTTGTTTTGAGATACTTTTGACAAGAATGGTACGATCGTAAACTTTTCTCGGGCCAGGTACCTCTCTTGGCACGTCGGACACGTAGGACCTATGTTCTTTCCGGGAGCGAACAGGCGATGACCCCCACGACACGGGAGCCCAGCATGCTCCAAAACAATGATAAAACGAGCATTGAGACTATTTACTTTCCAGCATTGGACAGTCCTGAATTGTAGCGCAAACTACTTGTGGATCTTGTGAATCAAAAAAAAAACAAAAATTCTGTGTGTCCCGGTCCTGTGGCCAAACCTGTTTCGCAAGCATTAAACACAAAAGCAGGAAACAAAGGATATCAACTACCAGGACCCTCCTGTCGGGGTGTCTATTTATAGCCCCAAACAGCTGTGATTCGGGGTGTCCATTAACCACCCCTTGAAGGCCCTGGTATAATTAACTGGTTCACAAAAAAGTCCTGTGCTCTCTACACTGGGGTTGGGTCCCTCGAACTTTGGATTAACAAGGGGGGACCCAAGGTACGATGAACTACCTGGAGCTTTTTAGCCATGAACTTTTGGACCGACCCAACCCCACGTGTTGCAAACAGGGACCCATGGCTAAACAACCATGGACCCAACATGTTGTTGGCTAAACACATTAGCCATATTCCAAAGGCAAAGAGCTCAAATTAGAGGTACCCAACAACAGCCACATGTACGGATGTGTGTTTTTTGCCACGGCCGCCCGCCGCTGAACAAGTTCAGGGGGCAGGCCGTGTATGGTATGCCGTTGCGGCTGTGTCGTAGCGGCTCTTCGGGTGTATCATACCTCTTGGTCAGGAGGTAGGTACGCGTTGCCACCATATGTGCAAAGACGGTCTCGTTGTAGTCATGGTGTGGGGGATTCTGCTGATGCATACCAACCCGTGGACCGAGTCTGGCCTGTAGTCGGTCGGCTGTAGTTGGGATGGGTGGTGGGTTTCCTGGGCAGTGCCAGCAAGTGTGCGTCCAGGTGCCCACTTTGGGGCAGTCGTAGCATCGCTTAGCGATGTCTGTGGGTGGGCCTTGGGTGGTCATTATAGCATAGTGTGCTTTGCTGATTGCCCAACCGGTCAGGATGCTGAAGTGGTGGGTGCTGGGTAGCTCAGAATCCCTCATCTGAGTTCTTGGCTAGGTTTCACTGCACTAGCGGCTTATGTCACGGATAGCGAGCGGTGTTTTACAGGTGTGTGATTGGATTGTGTGGTGGCAAGATGTGGCAAGGTGCTTGGACAAAATGAATGGCCCCAGGCCCCAGGACCTCACAAAGCAAAACATTACCAAAGCCCTAGGTGAGTGGATTTCAGCCTATTCTGGCAAAGGTGTGTGTTGTTGTTGTGGTGGTGGCGGTTCTTTGTTGTGGTAGCTGTTGTTTGGCCAAAATGCTTGTCATTGCTTCATGGTGGGTCGATGTCACAGCCTTTGTGGACAGGAGGGTGCGTTGTTGTTTGGATTGTTGCTAAAATGGATTGCATGGCTTGGCTAAAATGATAGGTAGCCAACATCTGAGCAGTATATACAAGGTCCTGATCTAGGGTACTTGTGACACTCGATATAATTCAAATAGTAAACGGTACCATACGGTACCCAACCTTTTAAACCCCCAGAAATCTCAAATCCGTCTGATTTGTCCATCAAATGCCCATGTGCTGGCTAGAACTCGCTTCCGGCTAGGAGGCCCGGACAACACGATCAAACAATTGGAATCCTTTTGTACGACCCCCCCAAAAAGGAGGCCCCACTTTTCAGGAACGACCGGTGCTGAGTTTGTGGTTTCACCGGTGCTGGTGAACCCGAGAAACTCGAAGTCCACCGCGCAACCGGAAGTCCACCGCGAAACGACACGCGTGGAGTGGCCTCGCCTCTCCCAGCGTTGAGTGGCCTCTCCTCAGATCTGGGAGATTGGAGCCTCAGATTTGGGAGCAAAGGACCCCAAGTCCAAGGTTGGACCCAAATAGAACTTGTTTGTTCGGGTCAACACATCAGTTGAACCAGTTCCGTAGTAACGCGCCAGTTTAACCTGTCCTTCGGACTTGCTGAGAAAGATAGAACTTGGGTCTATCGCATTGCCAGATCGCTCAGGATCTTGGCAAAAAGGAGGACTGGTCAGCCAGCCGCCCACCAGCCTCATCGTATCTCCCAGGGCTCAGTGGAGATGATGGTTAGGTGTCCGACATCTCAAAATCAAAAGAGTGATAACATGTGATAACTATTTAAAGTGATAACTCTTAAATAGACCATTTAACTAACATTAACATGAATTCTTGGAACCCAACCAGCAAGTTCATGGTCTACACCCCCTAGATACGGTGACCCCCCCCGGTTCCGTATACCAGACCGTAGACCTCCGTCGAGACGGTCGGGTCAGGTCGGTCAGCTCCGCTGTCTAAGTGACCGAACTCACCCGGGGTGAGTTAAGGTAACTGAAAGAATCGCGAAGGGGATGACTGTGCTGTGGATAACAACACTTACTGTGGATAACAACACTTACACCTGATCATTCAAAGCCAAGAAGCCGAAAGGACAATGCAAGCCTTCCATACACGGTACACACATCACAGCTTCCTCTTCCTCCATGCTGTTGATGCTTCCCACGTCGCAGCCACATTCCTGAGCCACCACGTGCACAATGCTGTGGGCAAACTGTTTGTGAACATTTCAAAGCTTTTCCATCCCCATTTCCAGTGTTTTCGGGTGCGACATGAGCGATCGATATTGGGAGGCTTTGGCTGTGAACCTAAGGTAACTTCGATCTCGGAGGCTGCAAATGACCCTCATAGAAAGCACATTCCATCACAGTCCCTGCACGTGGGAAATGCAAAGACTCACGACGCTGCTGCGACGCTAAGAATTGCTTCGCAAGACGCTGAACTGCACGACGCCATGCAGACGAGAAGCTTGAGCTGATTTCGATCCGAAACCAAGGGTCGTGGTGCCCGGCGGGCATGGCTTGCAGCCAGTCTGACCCTCTTCATCTTGGTATTCACCTCACGTCTTCAGGTCCGAACGGAATATTTACTTCCTCAAACACTGAAGACCCTGTATGGACACTGTATGTGGTTAGGGCACCAATCTGACTGTTTGCCTCTAGCTGCACCATCCATATTTGTCTTCAGTGGGGTACTATATTTATACCTATATATATTAAATTGACCTTAAGAAATTCCATAATCCCAATTTATGGCGTTCGATGGTCCTATATAGGATCCATTCGTTAGATCGTCTCAGGCTACCAAACCGAACACATCACCCAACCGACAAGAGGCTGCCAATGGATCCAATCATGGGTGCTTTTGTGTTGCTTTTTGCCGACCTTCGAAAGGTTGCTTGAGTGCAAAACAACAAAAACATACAGAATAAACCTGATGACCTGAAGATTCGTGACCTGAAGTGCCACAACTGCCACAACGCAGTTTCTCCGAATTCCGACGAGGTACCGATGCCACAGCGCTTGCCTTGGATTTGAGAAAGGGCACCGAGGAAAAAGAACACAAACAAAAATACCTTAGACCTTAGATTGCACATTTCCGTCGTTCACTATGCCTGAAAGGAAGTGTTTCAATTATATTTGTTTATCCAACCAATCAATAAGTCATGTTGCTTTTCGAATATCTCCCCAAAACAAGCGCAGAATGAGCAAAGCCAGGTTGCAGGCCTTACTTCCAGGCTCATCTTGATACTCGCCACGTTGGCACTGCTCACAGTTCAGAGATGCACCGGAAGGTTGCGCGCTGCCGGTGGGACAAGGTAAACAGTTAAATGTCAAGCCTCTCAAGGTGTCGCGGCTGCGCTTTCTCCACCCAGCAACCATTGAAACTGTGGAATCAATCAAACGGTGTTTTTGTTGGACTTGTTCCAGGAACTGAGGGAAACATTACAAAACAAACAAATCACCAAAATAATTGACCTGGACAAGTTTGGAAAGTAAAAGGGTTGCGGTCCTAATTTGGGATTGTTTGACTCTGTCTTTTTACACGAATCCTGGGGCCTCACAGCTCGCTGCTATTTGCAGCAGTTTGGATGTCTTGTTTACAATCCTATGGACATACACACTTTACATCCGCAGCTGATGTCAGCAGCTGGTGCCGCCTTTAAGTTTAACCTTCAACTGGCTCACAAAAGGTAAGCTACGTTGGGATGGCTCCTTGCTCCTAAACTTCACCCTCGGTCGGCTCACAAAACCTATGCTACGTTGGAATGGTTTCTTCTTCCTCTAATTTTCCCTCGCAATGACTCTCCTTCCTGGCCCACAACAGGTATGCTACCTTGGAGTGGCTCCTTCCTCGGCGGGTGGCTCAGTGGCTCACAAAAAACTGTACCTTGGAATGGTTCCTTCCTGCGCTTAGATGTTGTAAAGCTTTACCCTTAGGCCTGCCAAAGGTCTGCTACAAAGGTCTGGTACGTTGTAGTCTTTCCTTACTAAATTCGATCCTGAGTGCAGAAATAAAGAGTACACTTGAAGATCTGTAGTTGTTCCTGTCTTCATGGCAGGCACGGCATCCTTAAGCAACCCCGCCGGACACGTTTGCTTTGGATGCCAGCCTGGATGCAGCAAAGGAAGCGATGATGAGTCAGCTTGAGAAGGCGTAGCGCAGATTTCGTATAAGTATATAGGAGTAACGTTTTCGTTAGGGGAAATAGTGCAGATTCTGTGGCGCTGGACAGAGGTTGGGGGGGAGGGTGCAGGGCCTACCCCCAGAGTGAACCAAATAGAACAAATAGTAAAAGCAACAAGAACAGGAAAGCAAAGAAAACAAAAGCAAAGGATCGCACCAAAAGCACAGAAGCAACAAAAACAAACCCAAAATAGGGGTAAAGGTAAACACAACAAGCACAAAAGCAACGAAAGGAAACAAGTAGCCAAAACCGGGCAAAACAAAAAAACAGTAACATAAACAAAACATTTATGATTAACATATAGCCTCCAGCTGGTTGGGAACTGCACCTAAACACATGTTTGAAAAGTACTAGTTCCTGATGCACAAAAACGATAGGATATCGGATATATGTCATGAGAAAATCCGAGGTTGAAATCACATTTCAAACGCTGTGTTACTGTTGCATAAGGCCCGGACAAGGCGATAAAAGGGCAAACAACGTGGACAAAGCAGGGCTGGCAAACCTGGACAAAGGACATCAGGAGGACACACAGGGTTCGCAAACGTGGCCACTAGAAGCAGGGGAAGGACACCAGGAGGACCAGAGAAGGACAGAGGGTTCGCCAAAGCACGGCAGCAGCAGGAGGACAACTGGAGGGCAAGAGAGAAGAAGAGGAGAAGAAGAGGACAAGAGGAGGACAAGAGGACAAGACGAGGACAAGAGGAGGACAAATGGAAGACGAGAGGAGGACAAACAAAAAGACGACAAGAGAAGGGCAAGAGAAGGACAAGAGGAGGGCAAGAGAAGGACAAGAGGACAAGACGAGGGCGAGGAGGACAAATGGAGGACAAGAGAAGGACACAAAGACGACAAGAGAAGGGCAAGAGCAGGACAAGAGAAGGACTAGAGGAGGGCAAGAGAAGGACAAGAGGAGGACAAGAGAAGGACAAAAGGACAAGAGGAGGAGAGGAGGACACGAGGAGGAGCAAAGGAGGACAAAAGGAGGACAAGAGGAGGACAAAAGGAGAAAAAGAGGAGGACGAGAGAAGGACAGGATGAGGACAAGAGGAGGACAAGAAGAGAACCCCAACAGTAAACTGTTTGGGGAATAAAACATTACTGTACAAACCATGAAAACACACACACACACCCTTAGAAACAAAGCCCATCCAGAGTAAAGTAACATATCGCCAGAAACCGTGAAACAAAACACAGATGGTTGAAGATGGTTGAAGCGTTTTGGGACCCCATGCTCGCTTCAGCTCCAAGATTTGGAAAGTTGGGTGCCAAACTCCCGCGGCGTCTGTCAAGCGGGGGACCCCGCAAACCAACCGCATGGACGGCAGAAAATGGGACATGACCCTATAAAAACAGGTACCTTTACGAACGGGGTCCACCCCAGGTAGTTTCTTCTTTTAGAGATGGCAAAATGTGGCTTGGTGGATAAAACACAGCCACAGCGCCCACTGCTTTGACCAGCTTCAATTCTCCAGCCGTGCTTGGCTTTCTCACATGCTCAAAATTGATATTTTCCCCAAACACTCCATGGTGTATTACTATTAGACTTCAGAGCTTCTATGGTTTTTCAACAGGGTCAATATCAAATACAGTATTACAATATTCCCTTTCCCTTGTAGTCACCGCCCACCGATGATCGCCAATAAAGCGATACATCAAAAGCACGCACGGCCGACGTCGCGACGAGACCGAGGAGGCGATCGCCTTGGAGGTCGACGAGCTTATGGGAGTAGGTGCCAGACAAGCAAGCCTTGAGGCGTTGAGGCACAACGACAACAAAGAGCGCAGGGGTTGAGGCGTTGGGATTCCTGTGTTTGGTAGAGTTTCGAGCAAAGATGAAGGATTATGAACACAAAGCATCAACAATCTGACCAACAAACCATGACATATTATAGTACAACAGGAGTGAACATTCAGTAATATACAACAGGAGTGAATCAGCACCACGCAAACAAGCCTTGCATGAAAGATCAGTAGGATCCCCTCGATCTGCCACATATTGACCGCTCTTTTCCTTAGGATGCGACTGGCGGACGCAGCTATAAAGTCAGCATCAAGACTCGGAGAGGTTGCAATGGTTTTAGTCTCAAAATCTAAAGGGGAAGAACCCATCTGGAAGGAGAGGCACCTCTCGAGAAAAGCCCAACAATGGCTGAAAGGAAGGCCCTTGAAAGGGCTTCAGTCCAGTGAAAGATGTGAAAGGGTCAATGATTCGAAAAAGTGGCTTCACCGGATTGAGGAGAAAAGCGTCTGAAAGTGCGCCACACCTGCAGTAGAAATACACGACGACTCATTTGGCCCGACGTACTGCGCTCCGACGTACTGACATGGAAGTTGAAACCACCCAAAGGCCATTGTCCATTTCCATGCTAGTGAGTCGGAATGTATAATGTGAAGACCGGGTTAATAACCCGCCCACGTGGAAGGTCTAGAAGGTCTGAGGTATACATTCATGAGGTCCACATCCACCGAATATTCTGCTCAGGGAGTAGTGGTAGTCGTAGTCGTAGTAGTAGTAGTAGTAGTAGTCGTCGTGGTGGCGGTGGTGGTAGTAGCAGCAGCAGTAGTAGTAGTAGCAGCAGTAGTAGTAGTAGAAATAGCAAACATTTGCCTGGTTGTGTCGGCTCGGATTAACTGGGGCGGTTCTGGTGCGCAACTAAATGATTGAAGGGGGAAATTAGCCACCAATACTACTTTTAATTTGGGCAATTTGTCGAGGCTTAGTGGGCTCGGATTAACTAGGGGAGGTTTTTAAATCCGATGCTTGCATTACATATAAAACCTGTACCTTTTCAAGATCCAAGACCACTTTCCTCTACAAACGACTTCTGTGTATATATATAATTCTATAAACAAAGAGAAAGGACAAACTCTCTCCAAACAAGCCCTTAAACTCAACAAGGTAAAATGCAACCACACGTAGGAACAAGATCTAGCTACAGATCAATCTGGAGCAAACAAAGGTCCCAGGTGCATCTTGAGCAACTCTTGCACCACTTGAGTTAAGCCATATTAGCAACATTGGGTCGAACACCATGGGTCGGTTCCACCTGGGTGGAACGGCAGTGCTTCATGGACTGGCACCCGGAGCTGCTCCCATCATGGCACCCAAATTCAAAACAAACATGGCACCCTTGCTCTACGGCTCGCGGCTCATCTTTTTTTTGTAGCTGACTCATACTTAGAGCATCTTACACCTTGAACATGGGACCGGAACAACTGTTCTTTTGGGGGCGATCTTTGATCTATCAGCTAGTTAGTCTAGGCCCAAGCTTCATGATAGAGTCCGAATTGGGCAAAGCAGGTGGTGGGATCTGGCAACCAGCTTCTCCACACCTCCTGGTTGGACTGAATCCATCGGCATGCCACTTCCCGATATGAGTCTCCTCGCAATCCGTGTGAAGGAAGCGAACAAGAGTGTGAGGTGTTAACGAATGAACGGGTTGGTGTTCGTGCCCTGCTCAGCTGGTGGACGGTATTGAGAATTGAATTCCCAAACCATCCGTGTATTGAACAGTTACTAACATTCACTGATGAACATGACCCATTCATGGTGGCGTATCTATTCGAGTCCCGTTGTTTGTTCTGGGATTGGACATTGACCTCGACATGTCAATCATGGACGCTGCGCCACAAACGAATCACCAAGAAACGACCGGGTGGGAACCGTCTGCCCGCAGATCGGGAGCCATACTGGGAGCCATATTATGGAGCCATCAAGAGCCATATATAGAGCCATATGTTCCTAGTAGCTTCTTGTTCCTAGTAGTACGGCCAGGAGCCCCTAGTAGCTTCTTGTTCCTCGACATATTTAATCTTTCAAGTGAGTGAGTGACCTTATACTCTAAGAAGATTCTTCGACCAGGACGGGCGTTCTCGCATACAGCTTTTTTACCCTATAAACAAAATTATTGCGGGAAAAACATTCTCCTGTCTGCACCTGATCCAACAGCATGTCATTCACCATCTGCAAATCGATCAGCATGGCCCGAACCATTTCCTCTGCTGACGGAGCCAACTGGCTCAGATCCTGCAGGGCAACGTTTGCCTAGGTTCATCCAGCAGGAAAAACCCACCGGGCATCGACCGTACCGGTGTTTCGATCCAGATGAACTACCTGGAGTCGACCTGGGAAAGTACCGAAAATGAGTGTCATGACAAATGTACCTGATTTTTTGGGTCATGTTCCATGTTCTAAATAACGAACTGCAAACTCCAGGTAGTGTGAAACCTCATGTTTGGGAGCAAATACCTTGGGCGTTCACCGGCAACGTTTGTGGTCAGAGTTCGCGCTGGTCACTGGTTTGCTTTTGTGCCAAACACAGCAACATGTTGTCTTCATTGTCGTTACATGGTCGGTTGGTCGGTTTTTGTGGGAGGTGCAATGCTTCGGTTGGATGCTTTTGTGGCAGGTGCTCAGAAGTGGTTTTGTGCCCATGTTCGGACTTGGTCCACTTTTCGCGGCAAACGCAGGAGATCAAAGATGTTTTACTGGTTTCATGTTGAACGGTCGTGCTGCGACCGAAGGTCGTTGGGTTGCTCCTCTTCAGTTGTACATTGATTTCCAAATGGCTACAGGGTTGACAGGGCCAGTCTTTGACCAGTGAGTAAGAGTTGGAAGGATCCAAACTTGCGCAACCTGGGCTCACTCCGCCCTCAGCAGCTTAATTGGTTTGCCCGTGTCTTGCGAATTATGTTGGACTTGAGAGGATTGAGCTCTAAAGCAACGTTGTGCAGGCCCGACTCATCGGTCATTGGTCATTGGTGTTTGTCCTTCCCATTGATGTGGAATGTTCATCGACGTGACACGGTGGACACGCTTCAGCGGAACCTTCCGGGTGGTTCTACCCGACGTGGGGCGGCGGCAGCTTGCAGTGTTGACCGGAGGCAGTCCGGGTCCCCTCGATGGAGGCGGTGCCAACTTTGGGTCAGAGAACCCTGGACTTTCGGAGGTGAATCTTGCCTCGCCTGATGTTGCCATACGGGTCGCAAAAGGCCACCCGTAGGGACGCATGGAAAAGATGGAACAAATGTTTTACTGGGATGTGTGCAATATACTTTGGACATGGTGGTGGTCTCTGGTATGCTCAGATTGGCTTATATGCATTGATTTGATTTGATTTGTAAAGTTTGGACTTGAGAAATGCAGATTTTGTGGCAGGATAGGGGCAGGCACACCACTTTGTCAACTTCATTGTGCAGATTTTGTGGCAGCGCTTTGTGAACCTTGAGGTGCAAACTTGATGTGTCTAAATGTGTTGTTGTTTTTTTTTAGTTGTGCTCCCGTGTGTGTTTGTGTGTGTACGTGCGTGCGTGGTACGTGCATATGTGCGCTTTCACTTGTGCTCTCATATGTCAGTTTTTAGCTCTTATGTGTGTGCTCTTATGTGCTTCAATGCGTGCTCTCATGATCTCATGTATGTCCGCTCTCAGCTCTTATGTATGTGTGTGTACTCTCATGTGTCTCAATGCGTGCTCTCATGCTCCCATGTATGTGCTCTCATGTGTATACTCTCGCATTTGTTTGTGTTCCTATACTCTTATACCATCTTATACCTGTGTTCTGACATGTTTGTGTGTGTGCGTGATTAAGAAAAACACGTGCACTCCCATTTGTGTGCTCTCATCAACGAGCTCTTTTGTGTGCTCTCATATGAGTTTTATCTCACATGTGGCTTCATGCATTTGCTCTTGTATTTGTGCTCCCATATGTGAGCTCAGAGATCTGTTTGTTCTCACGTGCGGTGTGCCTGATTTAAACAAAGACAACAACATGTGCCTGATTCTCACACGTTGCACCGCAACGAAGATCCCGTGTTGTGCTCCTGGCTCACATACTTGTCCACCGTCAGAGCGCTGGGGGCGGTGCGCTTGTCTCCGCGGATATGCGCTTGGCGATCGAACGGAGGGAAGGTAATCTCCATGGGCTTCAAGCTGATGAACGTGGGATCAGGCACCTGCGCTGAGATCGAAGAGCGCAAGGGTCGACAGGAACCCTCTGAAGAGGTACTTGGAGCCCTAGGGCATAAGTGATCAAAACATGTGACCCTCAGGGGGAACATCTTGGACCCTCCACAGTAAGAAAACATGTGGTGGGACTTCAAAGTGACCTCCCTTCAGAACCAAAGACTCCAAAGAGGTCACGAACTGAAGGTCATGGTCGGTCATGGAGAGTCTGAGCCCCACTTGGGCCTCATGGAAGAGGACAAAAAAAGAACGTGTGGCTGCGGGTCTCCTTCTTCCCATACCTAGCCGGCCTCATTGTTCAATCTTCAGGTGGTACCACGCAGCGGTCGGGTTGGGGGAAAGGGATCCAAACCCAGAAATGTCATAACAATTGAGACTTACCGAATACCGAAGACCAATTGCCACCAATTCAAGACTCCGGGACCATGGGGCTCGGTCTTTGGAACCTAAGGTGACCCACCAAACAGTCACTGGATTCCCTGAGAAAGCACAATTCGCAGCGATCAGACAGGGTACCCACCAGTAGAAGGTGCTGCGCACTTGCAATGGCAAGTACGTGTAGACCGACCAATTTTTGGCCACAACAGGCGCCAGTGGCATATTCCATGCTGTGGATTTTTGCATCGTTTCTTCCTGGCTTGGGCTCAGGCGGCGAGCTGCAAGAACGGCACACAGGGGCAGGGTCCTGACCCCTTGAATCGATGAACAACAATAGATAGAGTGCGATCAAGTCACAACCAAAAGAAGTTGTGAGACCCCTGTTTGGGAGTGATCTGGAAAGAAAAGAGTTGGACAAAATCCGGAACAATATCTGGTTTCAGCATTTGGGTCAAACGGGTGCAACCCGGCACACCTTCGTCCGGTGCTCACCGATGCACATCTAACCGGTCCGATGTCAGGCGATGCCACGGGGGGGCGGCGTGGCTTCGAAGGCCCACCGCCCGATGGCCCATCGCCTTTCCCACCCTCCGAGAAGATATTCTATGCAGAACACAGACTGTAGACTTGACGGCCGGTCGGTAGGTTGACTGGTCGCACAGACTTGAGCCCCCCAAAAACAGGGTATAGGTGGACTTGTCAGATATAGTCTATCCTTTTCATTTTTGGTGGTCAACCAAGGTCCCCCGGTTTTGACCCACTGCAAGAAAGCATGGTCTGGAACACATTTGCGCTGGACTGTTGCGGGTTGGGGCGGCCAAGTGGTGCGCTGTACTGGACCCGGGTTCAGGCAGCTGTGCAAATCTTCCGAAAAAAAAAAAAACACGCGCACACACACACAAGGTGATACAACACATGTCAGACCAAATGATCGGAACATATGTCAGAACGCATGCCGTGCATGACGCCGGACGCCAGCAGAAAGGCTACAACAGATGCCAGAATACATGACATAATGCCAATTGACATATCAGAACAAACATCAAAACACTTTGTAAACGAATGTCAGAACAAATGTCAGAATACATGCAAGGACATATTCAGTATTAATAACATTTTGTTAAGCACATGTCAGCACAAACCTCGGAATACGTGCCAAAAGAAAAGAAACCGAAGCATCATGTCGACTCTCCATATATATGGTCCTATCCTGCATCACAGGGGCTTGGACCCGAACCAAACCTTCCGGTCCTTGATTCTTAGGGCATGTGACATATCTGGACCGACGTTGGACTCCTGGACTAAATGTCACAACATATTTTTGGAGAAACGCAAAGCCTCACCAAAAGATCCTGCAGGAACTGATTTCAGAAGGTGGCCCCTCGAAGGAGACCCCTGCTGACAAAAAATGCCAATAAACAATCGAGCTGTAGCTGCAGATTGAAATCCCGAGATGGAACCCGGCCTATAATAAGTTCTGTAAAGTTTAAAGGTTCTCTCGTCCAAAATGTGCTACACTTCCTTCCAGGTTTAAGCTCTGTGGCGAAGGGCTTTCAGCTTCGACCGGTGAACCCGAAGCGTAGCTCACCACCGACGCTTCGACGAGCACAGCACGACGAAAGCGCGCGCCAGGGATCCAAATTCCAGCCATTGCCAGCAGTGACGAAGAGCACGCACCTCGAGGAGTTCTCCTCGAAGTGGCGCGGATGCGAAGAGGCGCGGAAGAGGCGAAGAAGCGAAGTGGCGCGGAAGAGGCGAGGCATCAGAAGAAGAGGCGACGTCCTTTTTTGTTCAACTGAGAAGTCATGGGTCATGGCCCCGGCCCAAAAGAACAGTGAGTACTGTAGCCGATGTTCCAGACTTTACAGATACCAAGCACGCGTACCACGAGTCCCATGTTTCGGACACACGAGTCCCACGAGTGAAGGAAGCATGCTTGGCACACCAAATCCTATGGTCAAACAAGGACATGACGTCGATGCTGGGCTGAGCTTCACGACACGCTGGCGGGTACCAGAAGTAGTCATTGAAGCCTCACTTGGCCGGGCTAGATCTGCGAAAGAGAATGCAGCTTGGTCCTGCAATGTCCACCACAATTTGTTTGTTACTCGAAGATGGTCTATGGGAACACCGTTGTTTTCGACCGACCTATACAAAAACATGCTCCGTGGTTTCTACGCACATATATGACCTACATGTCAGTGCCTGATCGAGTGATGAATGTATAAGGTAGCATCATGACACTCCTACTGACAAATCTTTAATTCCCTATGGATCCACATACCTTCTCAGAAGGTATGTGGGCTCTCCAAGCCTACATAAATAGTCTCCAATCACCTTCTCCGAAGGTATGTGGATCCGTATGGATTAACATTTCAGCTCGGAGCATTCGCATGGCGTCGCATGACCAGGTCAACTGGTTTTTGATGCCGAGAAAATTGTTGTCCTTTCTGTGGCGAAGGGTGACACAGGGTGTACCAACCGCCGAAAATTCTGCATCCCAGCAGTCTTTCATGGGCTGAGAAGGAGTATAGTATATGCATGGATGTACATACAAGTTCACACTGGAGGATTAAGTTGGACCCACAGGCTTTCCTTAAAAATCACAGATAGTTTTTTTTTAGGTGATTGTCAAACACACAGTGACACAGGGTTCTGAAAATGTTCTTGCATTTGCACTTGTCTTCGCGCTGCAAATCATGCTCTCGTTCGAGACCTCTTCTTCGTTGCGGGATGGATCGACATGGATCCACTCATTGAGCGTTGACCAACCCAGTATGGTACGGGATGACAGCAATGGTTGCATCGCAGGTGGGGTGCCCTCCGTCGTTCCCTCAGCGGGTGCAAATTCGGCACCCAGAGTGCTGTTTGCGCGAGACCCGGCAGATGGTACAAGTACTGTTGGACGATGAAAGTAAAATCAATTCCTACAGCAGTTGGTCATTGTGAACCCCACCCCACAGGAAAACCGTGGACAACGCTGCTCTTAGGGTCACACATTGCCATCGCCTATGATGGGACTGGAATGTTTGCCGCTATTGACCCCAGGTTAACCAAAGTCAATAAATATGCTATCGTCCCATGCCCAGACACTCCCATGCCCAACTGATCAAAAAAGCACCATGGACCTCCGAAAGAACTCTCCTATGGCCGCAGCTCTCGGCCGCAGCTCAGGGCAGCTCGGGTCCGCCATGGGTGGCTCGAGCTCGAGCGACCCGGCCACGTTGTTGGACATGACCGTGGTATGACCTGACTACGCACCTAGGGGGTTTTATGAATCAACAGGTGTCATTATACCTTTCAAGGCTGGTGACATCGGGCTTTAGGACCACGAAAGGACAGTTCTTTCTGCCTGGCAGCATCTTCCACGCACTTCTCGCCGTCCATCACGGATCAGCAGCTCCACCCCATCCCAGTCACCCGTCAAGTTGGCATACAACTCCATGGCCTGCGGAGTTCATACTTAGAACATGAATGAATTGATGAAGAAAACCCCAGCTAAACGCCGATGTTTCTGAGCATGCCAGGAGAGACTTCAAGGCGTCGAGTTATTGGGCCCCCTCCAAGCAACCACATAAACGCTTCCAACGCCTCCGGACAAATCAATGTTTCACCAACGGGGTTTAGATGATTGGGTGCGGAGGAAGGCATTAGTGAGCCCAATTTCACTAAGTCGTCCTTCAAAAAACCTTGCCGAGCAACCCAACAACGATGCTGTCCAGACTGGGAGGTCCCCATAAAATTTGATGTGAAAGGGGCACCGTGGATGATTCAAATCTACAAGACCCAGCCCCTAAGTGCAACATGACTTCTTTTTTTCATGACATGGATTGTTTCTATGGTTTGGGAATACATGGAGTCACCACAGGTACACCAGCTTTTCTTTACGATTCTTATGTGGGCTTTGTGAGAGCTTCATCGTTTTCCAAGCCTTGCACAGCACATCTGCTGGACGTTGTTTTCAGAGTTCTACATCGGGCTGGGGTTAAAGCATCTGTTTGTCCAAAGGGCGCCTGTGAGGTCATCATCCTGGTTTCATTGCACCTCTTCAAAAGGGCAGTGTCCTGGCGCCGTATCAATCTGGGTCGGAGGGCAGCACATGATGGTCTTAGACGGTTGTATAGGGGCCAGTGTCAGAGTCTAGGACTCAATTGGGCACCCAAATCGCACCCTGCGAAGAAGTAGATCTTTTGAAACCTAATCCTCACATAACCCGAGTGGACCGACACACTCTCAGTTGGCACCTCGCAGTCTGGTTCCCAGGGTTCCCAGGTTTTGGGGTTCGGGTGATGTCCCATGGACCATGGGACCCATGGTCGTTCGAGTACGAACTGGAAGGCTTCACAGCAATGATGTCCTGAAAAGAATAGAGGAGTTGTTTGGTACCATTCACTTGGGAGATTCTTCGGCATCAACCAATTATAACCCGGGACGCAGAGATAGAAGAAATTCCCGAATATTCAGAATTTCAATATTCTATTTGAAACTGTTTCTGGTGCGTGCGAAAAACACATTCAAATAGAAGAAAAGGGCTTTGCCGGAGCATAAAAGAGGTGTTATATCATGTTATATAGCTACTTTTGCAAAAAACACTAAATAGCCTAATATCTAATATCTTCTATTTGAAATCTGTCCGATGAGGTACATCTTCTATTTGAAATGTTTGTTTTTGATCTTCTATTTGATTTCATTTTTGGTCCACGCAGATTGTTTCCTTCCTCGCCGGTCCGATGTTTCTCCACTGCTCATCTCTGGGAAATATGCAAGCATTGATGAATAGATCTATTAATAGATAGATATATGGATAGATACATATTCACAACAACACAGCAAGAATATCCAGAAACATGACCTATTTGGGAAAGTCCCTTTCATGGGACTGATCTTAGGGGTAATTATTGGAATGTTTGATCTTCTTAACTTTGAGGGAGAAACCCTGGTGAGAGAAAAGCTCTGAAGATGGACTCATGGGTCAGGAAAAGGCTGCTAGAAGATATTACCAGATTATTTTGTAACACCAAAATAATCACATATACATTTCTTCTATTTGATGTGCTTGGTTGCTTTGGCAATATCTTCTATTTGACCTTCACTTGTTGTTCTGCTGTCTTGTGGATCTGACCTTCAGAAAAAAAAACAAAAAACTCGTTATTTTTTACCGTTTTGTACCGGGATTCTGGACATCTTGGGTTGTGCACTAGGTCCTCTGATTTTTGGGTTTAACTTGCACCGTCTGTCCCGGCTAAATTTTGGACAAGATCATCCAAAACTTCAAGACTTCACTGTAAATACCATGAAATCCTGCTTCTCTGGCAAGACCGTTCAAATAGAAGATATTGGAGTTCAGAGTGCCCAAACAGCATCAAAAAAGCATCAACAAAGCACCTCTTGCGCAAGGCATTTTCTTCTATTTAAAGCCTTGCTTGGAAACCACCAAAATTGCACCTTCTGTTTGAAATATTCAAATTTATTCTATCTCTGCGTCGCGGATTATATACATATTTAGGTTTACGTTTTTTTTGTATCGCCCTGAAACCGCTTGCTTTGGTACCACCGTTTTCTCTTCGGTCTCAGTCCCAGCTTAATGCGCACCTAGGATGAACCAATCTGTTAAATCCTGTTGACCTTGAAGGGGGGGTTGATTAATCCTACGTCGACGTCGAAAACTACATTCATCAACCAACCAGTTGGGCGTTTTGAAGGCCATGCATCGCCCAACTGCCCAACTCGCCGCGCGTTGAGCCGCACGGCTCTCCAGGATGCTGGGCGCTTCGAAGTACTTGGACGGGTCAGTCCACGAGACGTTGAAGCCACGGTAGAACTCCAGGATCAAGCCTGCGGAAACAACTATATATAATGCAAACATGAGAGAATGGTGCCAATTCCATGCCAGTGGATGTGGGTCGAATCATGTGTGGAGAAGATCAATTCTCGGATTGAGATCGATATATGGATCCACGATGATCAGATCGAGTTCAATCCACCCGAACCGATGTGTTCGAGATCATCCGGTCGAGTTGATTTCGCGGATGCCTGCGAGCATTGTTCAAAGGTCGTCCCTGACCGGTTTTAGGGATTGGGTCGAGTTACAAGTAGGTCTGAAACCGGTTTTCAGTGGCTGTGCTTTTCAGAACTTCATATGGACATCCATGGATGGTCTGGATATGGTGAAAAACATAAACTTAACAAACATGCATTTCTTCACATGTTCCAGCCATTTGAGTAGAGAATGGGACAACGGAAAGCGGGGAGAAAAACATTGGTGTTCCGAGTCCAACCCCCCCCTGCGAAGGTTTCGGGCTGCGACCCTGCTATGAATGATTTCCACAAAAATGTCATGTTCGGGGAGGCGCGGGGATGTTTTTTTTAAACATCTGAAGATCATTAGAATCATTAGAACATATTGTAGAAGCAAATCAAGCACCTGAATGTTAGGTGTTGATGGGTGTTGTTGTGGGTGAAAACCACGTACACCAGGGTCCCAAGGTTTGGGACCATGCTAGGACAATCTTTCCAGGAAGTTTGACCCCTGTATCCCAGCACCTTCAACAGCTCATATGTCCACCTCTCCCAACAACCACGCACTTCAGCGCGATTTCGGTGCCCTGTTGAACAACTGTTGGGTCCTGGCAATCATGACTTGCATATTTTTGAACCACTGCCACAATTATACATTAATTAGATAACAGCACCTTCCAAGGGGTCTCCAATAGATCATATAATTACACCCTGGACCCTCAACAATTTTTTCAATTATTTCTTCACTATTGGGAATTCTTTCCTATTAGGCCGGCTTGGCCGATTCCACCCAAAAGTGAACGGTTTCAACCAAAATTGAACGCTAGCGCTGCTCCTTTTCTTTTCTTGATGAGCACACTTTAACGTGTGCAATCAAGTGGAACACCTGTAAGCCACAGTGGAAACAAGTGTGCGATCAATGAGCATCTGACCGGTTCAAATTATAGATAGAAAGCGTGAAAGGCCGACTTGCAGTTTGTACAAGATGTTTATTGTTGGATAGCACGTCCCTTTTCCACTAATCATCCCAACGGAAACCTCTCTGTTCTAGTTGTGTGAACTCGATGAAATCCTGAAAGCCATCAAAAAGCCAAGAGTACAGAAATCCCGATTTGCGTACTTTTGCGGGTTTTTGTGTACTATTTGCGTACTATTTGCAAAATTGTCTGTACTTTTTGTGTCTGGCATTATCGCGTCGAGCGAAACAAATAGCAGCATTTGTTGAGCGAGGCTTCCATGTCTTGAATTAGTGGGGCTAACTCAGCATCCGGTTCTTCAAAACGTGAATGCTAGGAATTAGGTACCTTTGTTTTGACCCTGTCAAAGTGCCTTCAAATTGCTGTCGGTTACTTTTGTTTTTGCAAACCTCCAAAAGTCAAACTTCCTATACACAGTCCAATCGTCCAATCACGTCAGTTCATGAAATGAACGATTCTCCTTGCTCAACTCCAATTATTGAACTATTGGGCCAGAATGTCAAGTTTGAACGGTCTCAAGGTTTCGCGACCTTTTGCGGCCAAGAGTGTTGAAACAACCAATAGTTAAGAACATTATTCAAGTTTGAAGATTGTGGACCCCCCTTGAACACCCTGAAATGAAGTTGAAGCTAAAGGAAACACAAATACCTAGGGTTAACCCGGAACTCGTACCTCAGAAAACGGGGAATCAGTCGTACAGTCGTACCTGTTTCTGCCAGGGTACGAACGGGTCCAAGTATTGTCTGTTTGCACCGCTTCGCAGCCGGAGGCGAGTGGATGAACAGCGTGGTTCTTAGCAAAATGATGACAGAACGAAGACCGTTCCAAATATATGCTAAACATTGCTAAGCTATATTAGTAGCGGCGATTTTGAGTAGACATCCAGACTGTCAACAGTTAGCTGAAACATGCAGGTAGAAGGAGCCTCACAATCCTTGACAACCCAATCTGTGTTGAGGATTTGGTTTGCTGAATGGAAACACCGCAAGAAGCAACGCTCATAGCTGAATTGACTTTAGTCTGTGGTCACACATCTATGGGTTTCATGACCATCTGAATCGTGCGTCCTTTTGCCCGGCATCCTGTTGGGGGATAGTGTTCAGCCCAAAAAACAATCCAAATAAAGGGAACTGAAGGGCACAACATGTCTCGTGTGTTAGATTTATCATGTTGTGCATCTACATTTGATTCAATATGTGTGATCTATATGTATATAATGTGATATTTGAACTTAGTTTTGGATGTGTTTGGATCTTCGTAGCCTTGACTCTTGAGAGCTCACCGCAGGAGAATGGGCGCTTTGGTCGCAGGAGACTTCCGAATGAAAGATCCAGCCAAACAAAAATCCAGTTGAAAATAATGAAGCAATAGCAAAACTACACCAGGGCCGCCCTGGATCCCAGGGAATGCATTTGGTGATCGGATGGGGATGGTTTTTGACCCTCAGGCTTAATGGGACTTATATAGCTCGGCACACATCTCCAAACACAGCTGATTCAAGCAAATAATGGTGAAGCCCAGCCTTCTGCGCTATAGGCAGCTTGTTGCACGCTTGCTGGCAAGAACAAGGAGGTCTTTCCAAAGTAGCCTCAGCAGAAGGTTTAGCGAGGTCTAGCCATACTCAAAGTCCAGGCCAAGAGTTTCATGGAGTTGGGTGCTATCCATGGAGGTTAGGGTACCCTTGTCACATCCACTCACTGGATGGGACTAAACACCACCTGGACTTGTACCCCTGGGGGATTTCCACTTACTCAAACCAAAACCATGAAAAGGTGCCAGCCGGTGGAAACCGCCCTTTGCAGACTGAACCACTTCATCGGTCCATCGGCCTAGCCCAGGTGGAGAAAAAAACTCGGTTGGCTCAGCTCCAAGACAAACAGTTGACATGGTCTCCAATGTTTTTTGAACAAGCAACATGTGCACAGCTTGTGGCATTGAAGTGAAACTACTGCCTACTTCTATTCCGCGCTGCCTTCCAGCCTTCCTGCCAAGAAACCCATGTTCCCCAAGTTTCTGGGAGCCGTTTGTGGAAAATCGCGCTCGATGTCATCCCAAAGCATCTGGTACGACTCCGTCCACCCTTCCACGCTGATGTGGTCGTAGGTCAGTGTGGGCTTTGGAAAGCAGCCGCGATCCTGCGGACGGGACCAAAAAAAAACACCATGAAACACTGTCACCGGTCACTTCCCCCAGCGTACAAAATATGGTCGGGGTGAGGTTGCAGGAAAGAATGAAATCCTGTTCACACCAACAGATCATCGATTGTAACCTTTCTTTGGTCTTACCCAGGCCATTTCTTGTGTGTGATTGCTATTTGGTCTGAGGGGGAAACCAAACATGTCGCGGCGGCCGGCAACCTTTCTCCGGCGGTGACGACCGGGAAGCTTTGCTTTTGACGATATCAAATCACCCAAAAGAAACGACCCCAGCAGCGGCTGGAGAATACGGGAAGAGTACTTTCAGGGCAAGACGCAGGGGGACCGCAGCGTTATGTGAACCTTGGAGGGAGCGCTGATCTTAACATCTAGGTCTCAAGTCAGATGGCAACAGCCTGGTAGCCCTTAGCATCCAACCTTAGGTGGCTCACAGAAGATGTGCTTTGTTGGAGTGGTCCCTGCTGTCCTTCCTTCAATTTGACCTTGGCAGCGCTTTGTAAACGTCGGTAATCTAAGCATTCAAGTCTTTTGCTAGATTGTTAGATGGCCAATGCCTGGTGGCCCTTAGCATCCGCCGTGGGAGTTGTCTCACTTGCGCATGCAAAAGTTACCTCACTTTTGGCAACGCATGACTCACTTGCACACGCAGCGACCCACTTGCGCACACAGGCATGTTGCTGCATTGGAATGGCACCTTCCTCCTCTAAATCTTACCCTCGGGTGGCTATGCCAGGTATGCACGATTGGACTGGCACCTTCCTCCACTAAAATTTAACCTCGGGTGGCTCACACAAAAGGTATGCACCGTTGGATTGGCACCTTCCTCCTCTAAATTTTACCCTCGGGCGGCTCACAAAAACTATGCGCCGTTTGGAATGGCACCTTCCTCCTCTAAACTTTACGCCCGGGTGGTTCACAAAAGGCACGCACGGTTGGAATGGCCCCTTCCTCCTCTAAATGTTACCATCGGGTGGCTCACAAAAGGTCCGCGCAGTTGAAATGGCACCTTCCTCCCCGAAATTTAACCGTCAGGGGGCTCACAAAAGGTATGCAATTTCACCTTGGCAGCGCTTTGTAAACCTTGCATTCAAGTCTTTTGTGAAAAAACTTTTTTTGAGATGGCCAAAGTCTCGTGTGGCCCTTAGCATCGGCCATTATGGGGTTGCGGTGGATATATAAAGGTATCGTGTTACGTTTGTTATGCAGATTTCCTGGTGAGCAGTGTATGTGAACCAGGAGTGCACTTTGGGAAGCACGGAGCGCTGATCTTAACATTCATTTAGGTCTTATGTCAAAGAAGAAACAAAGAAACACAAGCAGGGAAGCAAGGAAGATATAGGAAACAGCAGGAAAATACGACCAGGCAAAACAAAAGAAACAGCAAAAGCGGCAGTTTTTGGCTCACAACCATAAGCAACAAGATGGATTGATGATGCATTATTGATTTTTTGACGCGCGCCCAAAGGACCTGTGTAGCACAAGAAGGACAGGGGACTTACCAAGGGACCGGCGCACCAGGGGAGCAAGAAACCACGGCACCATTGGACCAAGGGACCAGGGGACCAGCAGACCACGGGATGAGGGGACAAACATTTTTTCATTGATGCGTATTAGTATTGTTATTTCTTTGATGCGTATCATGGATACCTACCCCTCAAAAGCGACAGCATCAACTAATCAAAGATCAAAGAGGCTCACTACGCTACAAAAAGACGAGAAGAAGGAACAACAAAAAGCCAACAAGGAGAAACAGCAGGTAAAACAAACCAAGCAAGAAAGAAGGCACAAAAAAGCAGCAAAAGCAAGGGACAAAAAGGATTCACAAAGAAGCAATGAAAAGCCAGGAAAAGTAAAACAAGCACAGAAAAGCAGGAAAAGCACAGAAGCAGTGAGAAGCAAGGAAAAGCAACACAAGTACAGAAAAGCAAGAAAAGCAAAACAAAAAAACACAAGAAGCAGTGAGAAGCAAGGAACAGCAAGACAAGCACAGAAAAGCAAAAACAAAGCAAAGAAGCAGTGAGAAGCAAGGAACAGCAACACTAGCACAGAAAGACAAAAAAAAAAAAAACAATCCAAAAATAGAACGAAACAAATTCCAAAATAATCTCAAAATTATATGCCCCTCCAATTTGTTTTCCAGTTAACAAAGTGTTTGCGTGGTGTGCGGTCTGCGCCTTTCTTAAAGTCAACACTTAGCGCACATAATAGCTCTGCAGGCCAGTCCTGTGCGCAGTGTGAGAGGGTGCAAAGGCAGGTAATTCAATCCTGAAGACCTAACTAACTATCATATCCAGGAAGAACACCTGAATAATCAGTGTCAGTATGTGTCCGTGTCATTTTGTTTTGTTGCATTATTGCGTTTTCAAATCCAAGCTGACCATTGAGGAAACTATAGGCCACCAAGAAAGCTTAAGTCTTAAGTGATATTCATGATGACATCAACTTGGGTGCGTATGGCCCACCAATAAGTATGCAAAATTACTGCTGTGTCCATTTCTTTTTAACGAACCAAGACTTTTTGCTCTGTTCTATGTTTTGTTGTGTTTCTTGAAGTGGGAACAGAACACATGTTGCTTGCGGCATATGACCTGGGCAAAACGGGACAAAAGAGCTAGCGCGCAACAAAAACGGTGCAACACGTACTTGGCAACCGTTTTGGCGCGTACGTGTTGAAGACAATGAAGGTGCGAAACGACCCTTTCCACTAAACCCAGGTAGGCCCGCTCGGGGAAACAGTGCGATGCGAGGACGAAATAAGAGGACGGGTCGGGACGGGCTTGCCACGCGTCCCCTTGCTTCCTGCAGGGGCCAAGCTATTTTTTTTGCAAGGCGTCACACGCTTTCTTCATTCCAGCATTGATGTAGTCATTGGTGCCGTAGTCATCCATCATGAACCCATCGGCTTCACGCTGCACTTGTTTGAACTTGGCTTCCACAATGGACTCCACGGCATCTTTCATCAACGTGGAAGGGTGGCTTTCCAAAACGTTCTTCTTTTCCTTTTCAATTTTGGCCTTTTCCTTTTCCGCATCCTCTTTTTGCTTTCTGCTCCTTTCTTACGTCTTGAATGACCTTGCCGTACTCACTTTCCATAAGACTCTGAATGCATCATCGATCGACTGCTGTTGGAGTGGGTCATCCAACCCCAAGTTGTCCGCCTCAATGAGTTTGTCTACAACTGCCTGGCATTCCGTCATGAGCTGCTTGCGCTTGAGCATGGCGCGTTCTTTGGCTAATCTTCCTCCAGTGCCAAGGTGTTAATGCGTTTGCACTCCTTGGTCATGGGGTTTCACATTCTGCCAAAGTCTCATCCAGTTCAGCCAGGTCAGCCTGACTTTTGAATGGTGTGGTGCCCGCAGGGTAGCGTCCAGCAGTGTCCATTTCTTTCAAGTCAGACTGTGCTTGCTCAAGTCGCTTGTAAGCCTACATTTACCCTTGAAACCACCCCAATGTAGATATGGCATACAACCATCAATCCATGCTTAGTCCTGGAGATGCAAATGAAAGCAAAACCCAACTCTGGACCTGAACCAGGTTGGATGGGTGTCCAATGGAGATGCCTAGGGCTCCTGGCATCGCTACTAGGAACAAGAAACTACTAGGGGCTCCTGGCCCTACTACTAGGAGCAAGTAGTGCAGGGTAGTTGATGGATACCCATTGAATGGTCCTGGGAGGAAACATGTTGGACAAAAGATTCCTCTGGGGATTCTTGCGCAGCATCAGGATGCCATATAACCATTTGCTCAAGACAACACTTGCTTGAAAAAACTGGCAATGCAAAGAGCTAGGCTTTGTCAAAGTGCCCTTGCCATGACAATCACTCAGCTTTGGGTGAGTGTGGTAAGCAAACAACGCCTCAGAAATTGTAGGAACAGGGCAGATTGAAGTGAAGAACAACTAATAATCAAACATGTTCAAACAGCACTGTTTTTCTCCAAACAAACACAACATGTTGTCAGCTATAAGGCCTATACAGCACGATTGTTCCTTGCACCATGAATACAAGATAGGCCCAAGCAATGCAGGGTCATGTTCCATATAAAGTAGAAGCTGGAAGTTCGTTCCACAGGGTCTTCACCAGGCACAGTCCTCAATGTTGGTGGGCGATTGACACCCTGTGAGTGCGTAAAAGCCATCCTGGAGACAGATCGACTAGGATCACTGAAGCAAGTCCATGCTGGGCAGGGAAGGTATATAAAGGTATATTACATGTAATGTACATATTATACATATATGTGTGTGGAGGTTCGCAAAGATGATCACCTCGACTGAGCATGGGTATCATGAAGCAATTCAGAATGTAATCTCATGGAAGAAACCTAGAACCCAGGTGACCTCTTTTTCGATGGGAAACAAAGTTGGTAGCTCAAGGCAGTTGTCAAATTAACTAATCTGCTGGATCCAAACTCAAAACAAAGCCCTGTCGACATCCGCGCATGCTGTGCCCCCGTGCAGAAGATAAACCCGATCGCGAAGGCCATGCGGAACATGCCACATGACCCAATGTATGGCATGCAAAAGGACTCCATTTCCCTATTTTGCTGGGAAAATGTATTCTGTTCACCGGTTGGTAGTCCAAGGGTCACTCAGACCGCTAGGCCGCTAGACATACGACAACTTGTCATGGGACATTGTAGGTATTTGGCATCGGATGGGACCAGGTGGTAAAAGCCTAAAGAAATGGTATGTGTGAACGATGGACAATGTGCAGTACGTACTTCAAGAGGTTGCACCTGATGAAAACCGGGCTCCAGGGCTGACCGTATCATTAGCCTATCAACATGATCAACGTTGTCACATGTTGTCACACTGTGTCAGCTTGATTCTGGTTTGAGATCAAGAGGTCGTGAAGCGGCAGTAGCTTTGTTACCCATGAGTGACTTTTCATTCCCAAAGACCTCTT